CTTTACACACACACACACACACACACACACACACACACACACACACACACACGTTATGATTTGAGTTTGATCTGGGGAGAAGGAGTCAACTCAACTTTTGTTTTATTATTATGGCCATTCAAAACTAAAGGAAGAAAAATATGCTTGTATTCTGTGACTTGCCTATCCTGATGTAGTGAGAGAATCAGAAGAGATAACTCTTTTCCTTCAGGTTTCCTCCTTAAAATAATCGATTTCTTTTTCCTTGGTTTTTTTAAAAAATTAATTTATTATTAAAATAATAAATTTTAAGTAGTGGTGCAGGCGGTAGTGGATTTCAGCAGGAAAAGGGTTAGTTTTATTGCATGGAGACTGGTTCTGTCTAGATTAGGAGTTCATGTTTCTGTGCGGTGATTGAAAAATGTGGTTTAAAATTTACATATAGTTCCAAAGAATAAAAAAGAACATTATTTTTTTTGCAAGAAAAGAAATAAAACCTCATCATTTTCACAGGGTGGTGGGACTCATGAAGGTCAAGAAACAAAAAGGAAAGGATAAGAACTGATTTCCAGGCTAACAATCATCATCTTGTGTCTGTATTTGCTTATTTATTCTTATTTCCTCTACTGTATCTTGTGCCTCCAACCCCCCCACCCCGGTTACTAGTTAATTTTCTAGTGAGAAGAGAACTGAATTATTTTTTTAACTCAAATAATATTTCCTATGTCTTCCTTTTCTCATTTTGTTTCAAAGAAGGCGTGCTGCAGTGCTTCATTATTCATGAAGAATAGGATTACTTGTGGTTATCAGACTAGAGGGAAGAAGAGATAAAATGACAACCTCTTTGCAGAAAGCCACACCATCTCTCCACCCCACCCCACCCCAACCCAAATGGTTTGGCATTCAGTTCAGAAATTCCACTAGTTAATTTTTAACATTTAAAAACATTTCAGTGGATAGATTGTTCCAAACATAGACTACTTATTGGCTTGTCAAAGATTTTGGCTTGTTTATTTGCTTGTCAGGAAGAGCTGGTAAACTCCACTTCTTTCAGCTTCTCCTCCGTCACATTTTTCCTGTTTTTTTCCCTGAGTTTTCTTCCTTCCCTCTTCGAAATCTGAATTTTTAAGACAAGCATTGTTTTTCCTCAAGAGAAGGAGAGGACAAGATTATTCCCTTTTGCTTTATATGGCTATGTCTCAGGGGTGAAATCCAGCAGGTTCTGACAGGTTCTGAAGAACCTGTAGCAGAAATTTTGAGTAGTTTGGAGAACTGGCAAATACCACCTCTGGCTGGCCCCAGAGTGGGGTGGGAATGAAGATTTTGCAATATCCTTCCCCTGGGGTGGGCTGGGAATGGAGATTTTGCAGTATCCTTCCCCTGGAGTGGGATGAAAATGGAGATTTTGCAATATCCTTCCCCTGCCACACCCAACAAGCCACGCCCACAGAACTGGTAGTAAAAAAATTTGGATTTCTCCACTGCTATGTCTGGATTTGTCTCCCTTGCCTGCTAGCTTGTTCCCACCGTTGTTTACATGCTTGGAGGAACTTGATTCTATGTCTCAGAATCAGTTATCAGTGGGATGAATGAAGTAATCAAAATTGGCAAAAGAGAAGAAACGTATTTTGAGCACAGGAAGTATGATAAATTTCATCCTCTACTGGGATTTATCGGGCATACATAGCCAGATCTTATTTAGGGAGTTCAACCTTCTGTAGGGAATTTAGATACTAAAGATACCTGCATACAGTGTAGTATATTAGGTTTAGGAATTATCTAATTCCTGGTGTTCATGAATATATTACATTCATACATTAATAGTATGTTAGTACTAATATAACAGGTCTATTATAGGGACTAATTCCTTTGATATATGCTTTTATATCAATAATCTCACATTGATATTTTCAACTAGATATTTGAGATTATTCATACAAACTGCTTTAGAGTGATTTTGATTGTGTAAAAAAAAAGAAGAAGATAAATTAGCTGGGAAAAGTAGCCTGGTTAAATATGGTTTTCAAAACTTTCTAATTTGTGCTATAGGCTCAAGGCTGACTCAGCCTTCTGTCCTTCCAGGGTCAGTAAAATGAGGACCCAGATTTTGGGGGGGCAATATGCTGACTTCGTAAACCAGTCAAGGAGTGCCGTAAAGCACTATGGAGCGGTATATAAGTCTAAGTGCAATTGCTATTGCTGCAGTTCGAGTATAATAAGGACTATTATTGTGAATAATAAATAAATAATAAAGCACTGCAAATTTCTTGTAGAGTTTAGCACAACCTCAGTTTTGATTCTAGTTCTGTTGTGATTATACTCTGTAGATTTCCCAGCAACATTGTTGAATTCTGGGAATTACAGAGTCAAGATTCCTTCCTTCCTTCCTTCCTTCCTTCCTTCCTTCCTTCCTTCCTTCCCTCCCTCCCTCCCTCCCTCCTTCCTTCCTTCCTTCCTTCCTTCCTTCCTTCCTTCAAATAACTCAAGGCATCAACACCACACAATATTCCTTCCTCTTCTTATTTGTAATTGTATTCTAATTGTATTCTTATTTTCCCCTCATAGTAGGGAATCCTATGAGTAGGGTTGAGCTTGGGATAATGATTCACCCAAGGTCATGAAATAAATAGCTAGGGGTGAAGGAGAGCTAGAACCTGAGATGTCTGGCTCTGATCCCACCAGATTTGGCCCTATTAAGGTGGATTCATGGATTTTCAGATTTTTTTTTCTGAAAGAAAATAAGGAAAATTTGGGTAAACTGGTGGTTTCAACATATAAAGCACAGAAAAACAAATTTGCTCAAATACATCATAAAATTTAAAAAGTCTGGAAAGTGAAAAGATTGCATGGGAATCCATACATGTGATGTTTTTTTTTTTTTTGTTCCAAATTAATACAGTTTAGAGATTTGCTGGAACTGTGTTTCTCCTTTTTTTTAATTCTACAGAGCAATATACAGTAAAGCAGCTAACCTACAAGCTACTTTAAGTGCACTTTCAACCAGTTTAGTCAGTTAACGATGTGCCACTTGGCTGAACATTTCCTTTTACATTCAAATGGATTATAAATAATTCTGTAGGTTTTCTATGCATTTCAGACTGAACAATCTCTTTGTACTTCCTTACTCTGCAGTTCTTCACAGTTAGTCTATTAAAATCCTACTGACTCTAATGGGACTTTAAGAATTTAACCTGGTGGATCCTTTTCTCTTTTATTACACTTATCCGAAGCTCTCTTTTTGGCATGCATGCTAGAAGTTCCCTTTTACTTCTTTAAATAATTTTCCAGACTTTATGAAGTTTTTGCAAAGAAATGTTAATAAGGGGTTTTAATCCTCCTAATACAGAAAAGTAGAACAAAAATATTCTTACTTTTTTGATGCTTCATAAGGTCATGTTTTTGGTGCCTGAACTGCAAAGTATTAGAAATAAAGTTTTTAATATACGGTAGTCCTCAGTTAGTGGGACTCAAGTAGTGGGATGTGGTAGTTCAGTGGCTAAGACGCTGAGCTTATCGATCGAAAGGTCAGAAGTTCAGCAGTTCGAATCCCTAGTGCTGTGTAACAGGATGAGCTCCAGTTACTTGTCCCAGCTTCTGCCAGACTAGCAGTTCGAAAGCACGTAAGAAATGCAAGAAGAAAAATAGAGACCACCTTTGGTGGGAAGGTAACAGTATTTAGTCATGCCAGCCACATGACCATGGAGACGTCTTCGAACAGCGCTGGCTCTTCGGTTTTGAAACAGAGATGAGCATTGCCCCCTAGAGTTGGGAACAACTGTGCGAGGGAAACCTTTACCTTTTAAGTCCTCAACTTTTTTTTTTTTTTAATTTGATTTATATGCCGCCCTTCTCCGGAGACTCAGGGCGGCTTACAATGTGCTCAGCAATAGCCTTCATCCTTTTGTATATTTATACAAAGTCAGCTTATTGCCCCCACAACTGGGTCCTCAATTTACCTACCTTAGAAAGGATGGAAGGCTGAGTCAACCTTGAGCCTTGGTGAGATTCGAACCTGCAGTAATTGCAGGCAGCTGGTCTTAATAACTAGCTTAATAACAGGGTGCCTTAGACCACTGTACTACCAAGGCTCTTTTCTTACAATAGTAAGCCACATATCTCCTGTTCCTTGTTTTCAAACAAAATAACTCTGGGGTGGGTTGTATTAAAAGAGAAGGACTGGCCCAAAGTCATCCTTAGTCATGGCTGAGAATGGACTAGACCTGAGTCTCCCCTGGTGCCAGTCTAGTGTCTGATTTACTACACCAGTGAGATTCTAAACATAAATCTTACTCGGTTTCTTCAAAAGCATCTGTGTTTTATTCAAATTGTGGTTTAATAATTTATAATGCCAGCAATGCTTTATAGGGCAGTATATGTTATCAAACTATTTTTCTTTCATTCTCAATTCCTAAATAGTAAAGAAACTTGTATTTTTGTGAGTAGCAAATTGATTTCAGACACATAAGGGAAATCTGGCCTGTGATCTAATTAATCTATAATGGTGGTTCACAAACCAACCTTCCTAAAGTCTTCTGTGTATTTTGACTCGTACTCTTTCTTTCTCCTAATGTTCAAAAGAGGTTCTTGAAATAAGCTTTATTCAGTGACTTAGCAATAAGAAAGGAAGCTACATTTATTCTGTCCAGGGGAAATCTCCATTAACTGATGTAGCAACTGAGGGAGTGACGCTAGGATATATATATATATATACCTATATACATACATATATATATATATATATATATATATATATACCTATATACATACATATATATATATATATATATATACACACACACACACACACACACACACACACACATATACATATACATATACATATATATATGATATATCTAAAGATAGAATCTTCTTCACCCACTTAATGAACTTACCTATGGAATATGAAGTCAAATATGCTTGGGCAGGGGGTTGGACTAGAAGTCTGCCAAGGTCCGTTCCTATTCTGTTATTCTTGTATGGTTCATTTTCAATCATATACATATATCTTTTTCTTACAGGGCCAAAAAAAGAAGGACAGAAAGATCAGGAAAGCAGCAGGCCTATCATCTCATCCCCCAAGAGGCTGATAGTGGCAGCCACCAAGCTCCATTCACCAGGTATTTGTAATCTGGGAACACTTATTTTTTTAAAAAGGTTTTAAATGTGGCTAATGATTAAAGTATGGCTTTCTGGAATAACGTCTAGATCAGGGGTCAGCAACCTGCGGCTCTGGAGCCGCATGTGACTCTTTCACCCCTCTGCTACGGCTCCCTGTCACTCAAAATATGCATCACAACCACCAATGTGCGACACCCACCAACACGCAATTTATTGATCTTTTCAACCCCCAGTAGGTCAACCATGAATAAATCCAAGAAAAAAAAAAGTTCAGAAGAAAACAGAACATTTAATTCAACTACATATGCTAGTTTTGTGGCCGCACAAGAAATAGTCAGGCACAGGAAGGGTTTTGTGGCTCCCGATGTTTTCTTTTCTGTGGGAAGCTGGTCCAAATGGCTCTTTGAGTGTTTAAGGTTGCAGGCCCCTGGTCTAGATCAATGGAAATCTGTACAAGGCTGAACAAGAGTTCAGTTTTTAAATGGTTAAAGCAGCTACGTCTTTTTCCATTGTGTGACCATTTCAAAAGCTACTTGCAGCATTCGTTACAAAGCTTCTTAGTTATACATTTATTCTGACTGATTAGGGGAAATGAGGGAGAAGAAAGCAAAAAGTGTTATTTATTTGTTAGGTTGCCCTGCATGAACACAAACTCTATAAACATTAAATCTCAGACCGTCAAGCATCAGTAAGCAAGTTTATTATATGAGCAGACAAAGCAAATTGTATCAGATTACCTCTGGATGGAACAAACAATGTATTTTTTTTCTATAAATGAGGACCTTGTTAAAAATATGGAATTTATTTAATTTGTCAAGAAATGCTATCATGTTATGCATAGTGTACAAACATTTCTAGCCGTGGTTATTTTTTTAACATACTATGTTATCAAGTAGAAGGCATCATATTTCCTATGGGTAGTAAAAGAAGAAAAATAAATCCTGAATTGTTGGCTCATGTACAAACCTGTGTTCTGCTTTTCCTTTAGTCCTCTGTCAGCAGTCCCTGCATTTAACTGCAGTATTGTTTTCTATATCAGTCTACATAATTAAAATGCCACAGGTGGAGACAAGTGGTTGATAACTGTGAACAATAAATGAGAAGGTCAGATGAATACAATGCATGTGTACTTAAAACTACAGTACTGATTTGGCTGACTAGTAAGAGTTCTCAATAAAAACATTTTAATGAGATAAAATTATTCTTCAATTAGTGAGATAATTGGAGGTTTAAATATTTAACATTTAAACATTTCCACAAATAAACTTGTAAATAAAAACAGCGTGGAAAGGCATTTCCAAATTGTTTCTCCTCCTTTCCCATATAATGAAAATTTGTACGATTAATAGCAATAGCATTTAGATTTATATACCGGTTCACAGTGCTTTACAGCCCTCTCTAAACGGTTTACAGGTTCAGCTACATTATTCTAATTGTGAAACTACTTAATTTAATACAGAATATCATGACAATGTTCAATAGTATAAATACAGTTTTTGCATTCTATTCTTTTATCTTCAGCAAGAGATTCCTTAAGTCTTTCTTGCTTTCAACCATCAAAGTATGTCATTAACGTATCTGAGTTTAATCAATGTGTCTTCCAACAATTTTAATTCCAATTTCTATTCACACATTTATCATATATTCTGCATATAAATAAATCCAGTGACAATTTATAACCTTGGTGTATTCCTTTCCCAGTTATGAACCATTTAGGTGGTCAAATTTCATTCTAATTGTGGTTTTCTGGTCACTATACACCATTTTCTTGGATTTCATATATCCAGGTTTTTACAGGGTATTCATGTTTGATATGGAATATCCAGTCACCACTGTTTATAATATATAAAGAAGAAGTAGGTATATTTTTAAAACCACCTTGCTTTCAATTATCCATTGGATACTAGCAATGTTATAGGTACCCAGCGTTTTCTGAATCCCAATTTTATATTTGGCAATTTTACCAAATATACTTCCATGTATTGTTGAACTCTAGATTGCAGAATTTTAAGCATTACCTTATGTGCCTGTAAATTAAGTAAGCTAAGTGGTTTATATGCAAATATACACATAGAATGTAAGTGGAGACATATCCACTGTTTCGGATGAGGTCTTCACTTGCATACTAAGGTACTTAAATTTAACTAGTAGGAAATCTCAACCATTCCCTCTTCTGAACACTACATCTAATCATCTTGGTCATCTCCTAGGCTTTCCATGATATTATTTTTTATTCTTAGTACCACCTGTCCTGTTAAAAGCATGTACCTTTGTTACAATAGTTTTAAATGACAGGTTGGATTGAGTGCAGCTGATCTCCCAAATGATCTTGAAAGTCATTTTGAAGGTTTATGTTGCTTCTCAGCATGACCTGGGCTACTTTTGGGGAAACTCTCAGAGAGCCAAAAGAAATGAACCAAATCTGAATATATTCTATACTGAACTATGGGCTGTCACTAAATATATAATTGTAGCAAGAGTTTATTGTTTGAGTGGAGTGTCATTATATTTCAAAATGCCAGAGATGAAACTCTCTAAATTGCTGGTCTATTTTTTAAAAAATTATGACAGCAAAAGAGGAGAGACAGCTGTATTGCATAATAGCAGGACAATACATGCCAGCATTTTAAAGCAGATGCGCATTTTCTGTAGAGCTGTTTGGAAAATGTTGCTGGAATGCATACTTTAAAAATAATCCTAACATTTCTTTTTAAAGCCAAAAAAACCCTTCAGCTTGGATTGGACAATTTCTATTGACAATTCCTATTTCAAGGAAAATGTTGCCGCTCAAAACTGATATATTGATTTGGATGCAAAGTATTACAAAATTTATCACTACACACAAATACAAATATATTACACACACTAGCAATAAAAGTCTGGGTCTGATAGGAGACATTCTATAGACACTTGAGAAGCAGATGGTTTTCAGTTTATCAAGTTTACTTAATCAACTAAAAGCACATTACATTTTGTTATACCCATTTCTCAATTGGCAAACTATGAACAAGGCTGCTATGGACTACCTATGGGCTGAAGTGAGTCAGTATCCATCAAACAGTATGTATATTAGGATGGAAATCAAAATATTATGGCACTGTGGCAGGGGTGAAATGCTACCGGTTCGGACTGGTTTGACCAAACAGGTAGCAATGGTGCCGGGTGGTTCGGAGAACTGGTAGCGACGGTAGCACGAGGCTCCACCCACCCACCCAGTCATCGTTACTTACCAGGAAGTAATCTGTTTTTTACCCTCTGTGCATGCAGGAGAGACCTTGGTGGTCTTCTAATCCAATCTCCTGCTCAAGCAGGAGACCCTATACCATTCTGGACAAATGGCTGTCCAGTCTCTTCTTGAAAACATCCAATGATGGAGAACCAACAACTTCCAGAGATAAGTCGTTCCACGGATTAACTGTTTTCATTGTCAGGAATTTCTTCTTAGTTCTAGCTGATCTCTCTTTAAAGATCTTCCACCTGTTATTTCTTATCCTGCCCTCAGGTGCTTTGGAGAATAGGTGACTCCACTCTTCTCTGTGACAGACCCTCAAGTACTAGAAGACTAGAAGACTATCATCCTTAGCCTTTCTCATTGTTAGATTAAGCATACCTATGCTTAATCTCTATTGTTCATTGTATGGTACATTCAGCCCTGCCTCTGTTACCAAATATCACAAGGTCACAGGATTCTTGAATATTTTTAAGAAACTTCTGTGTACTAAAAGCACATTTCTCCAATCTTTCATGACTGAAAAAAAAATAAATAAGGCATTTCCACAAAATCCCTGTTTAATGTCTGTCTTTGATGATTCCAAATGCACTCCCAATACAGGAATGGCATCTTGGAGGTGCTTAATGAATTAGACAGACCACCACCTCATCCCCATGCATACTTGGTCCCTTCCTCCCATCTTGATTAATTTAATTTTAACTGAATTTTAAAGGTAAAGTTTTTACTTATTATTTTATCACATAGTTATTTTAAATACATTTTATATTGTATTTTAATTATATGACTGTAAGCTGCCTAGAGTCACCATGGTGAGATGGACAGCATAGAAGTTCAATTATGAATGAATGAATGAATGAATGAATGAATGAATGAATGAATGAATGAATGAATGAAAATAATATCTGGACAGGAGAAATGTTTGAGGTGCTATCAGCGAAGTTTTAGAAATCAAGCACAAGAGACATTCGGCTATTATCAATACAGATGTCATCTCAAGGCCACCCTCATAATATGAGGGGAAGAGAAGAAGGAGGATATTATACCTACAGATACTTTTTTTAAAAAAATTTTTTAAATAATTCATTATAATTGATAATTGGGTAAGTAACCAGTATTAGCCTAACTATTGGAATGAGATGGAGAATGATTTGGAAAGGATGGTGAAAGAGGAGACTGGCGCCCTGTGCCAAACACATAGAAAAACACTATTAAAATACAAACGCCGTATCATTTTCCCCATCTGCCCATCGTAAAATGTCCAGGAAATCTTTGTTCTGACTGCCTGATATTTGGAGCTTCTAACCTGCTTCTAGCAAAAATGTGTCTGTCTATGCTTGAATGGTCTTATCTTCTAACATCCATGCGGGGTATAATTTAAAGCATTTCTAAAGCAATTATCATGCCCATGCCCTAAATAATATCCTTCCTCATAACTTCACCACTGCATAAAAAAATTCAGAATCATTCTATGTGCATTGTATTTTGTAGATTCTCTGTATGAAGCAGAAAAGTGGTGAGACAATATGCATTTTGAGTTGTTCTGTTAGCGCTAGATGAATGGAGAAGCTCAAGATTATCCGCAAGAACAAAACTGACAAAACTTAAATTACAAGGACATTTGGAAAGACAATTTAAAGGCATTCAGTTCAAATATTGTGAGGCTGCAGGGATTTGGAAGACTTGGACAAAGTTTCAGGGAATTTTCTTTAATTAAATCTGAAACAATTTAGCTGCGGACTCCCCAAGGAAGGCACTTTGAAATAGACT